AGAGCAGTCCGGGTGGCGCACGAGGCCACACATCCGAGCACATCGTCTCTGCGTGGGACCGGGCACGGAAATGCACTGTTCTGGCCAGCGGAGCAGCAGGGGCCTTACTGCTTCCTCCGCCCCTGCCCTTTGCTTTAATCTCCCTCTGTTCTGTGCTGCAGAGGCGAATTTCTTCATGGGATTTGACTTGTTGCAAAATAACTGAGGGCCCAGGGGGCTTCATAAAGGCTTTTAAATGGTCGGGCTTCAAGGGCAGCATTGTTCCGAGTTTGCGCCGTTTCGCTGGGTGGGAGGAGGCCGTGTTCCCCGGCACGGTCTCTGCGGTAAAGGCTGGCTGAGCCAGACAGGAGGGGAAAGAACAGCACTCCAGATGTGGGGCCGTGAACTGCGGTGTTCTTACAGGGTATTTAACAGTGAGTCTCCACAGTTCCGGCTGGCCGTGGGGCGCCGCCTGCCTCCCCGGACGGTGCTCCCTCCTGTGCAGATTGGAGGAGGGGCGGGAGCTGGGGTCTGAGGCTCTGGCCCATCTTGCAAATGACCCAGTGCAAAGAGACTGGCTACGTTAAGTCGAGGACTTACGCTGTCCGTCCTAGAAGCACTGCTTTTACTTGTGCATTCAAAAGGAGACCGTAAGCCAGGCTTGCAATGGTCTGAAAAGAGGGAGCGCTCCACAAAGGCAAACCTTCATGTTCCTGGCTTCGGGAGGCGGCTGTCCTCGCCTCTCGACCAGGCGGTGCATTGTAGTGCTTAGGTCGCAGGCTGACATCAGAGGGTCGCGGGTGTGAATCTCTGTCCCGGCTGGCTGTGTAAACCTGGTGGAGCACAGTGGCCCCTGGGCTTCGGCTTCCTTACCTGTGAGATGGAGGGAGGCAGACCAGAGATGTATTTCCCTGAGCCTGCTGCGAGGGTTAAATGACAGAACGCACAGGACATCCTCAGTGCAGCCTGGCTCGTAGCAGAGTTAGGAATCAGGCGCTGTGATAAGAAATACTCAGCATCTTGCCTGGGCCACTGTGTGCTGCTCATTGTTGGATGAAAGATGTATCAGCACTGGCTGGGGCTTGGGCCATGAAAGGGACTTGCAGGATCAGTGGAGCGAATCGTGGGCACAGCAGGGTCTGGAGAGGGCTTGGGGTACAAGCTGGGGTGAGGCTTCGAGGCCAAGGCTGACGGCCCTCACGCTGCCCAGAGCCGGCAGGGAGGCGAGATGTCCTGCGAAACGCTGGGGAGTTTCGGTTCTTTTCTCTTCCAGCCTCCCTTTCTGCACCATAGCAATGGCTTTGGTGGTATTTTTTTCTGCCCATTTTTTCAAGTGCTGTGGATCTGAGAGATGACCCAGAGCCTTATGCTTTAGAGCAGCTGACCTTATCTTTTTTCTCCCGCTTCTTTCTCTGTAAGAGTTAGGGGGAAGTCAGTAGTGTCATGAGTACCGAAGAAGAAGCCAGCAACAGCTTAATTGCAGTAATAAATCACCAACCAAACTGAATACTGCCACTGGGGCCCAGAGGGCGATCTCAGGGCCTTCCTCCACCCTCTTCACTATTATTTCTGGAGACCGAGAGCAGATTTCGTGCTAAGGAGATGGGCTGGAGCAGATGCAGGCTTGCACTAGCAACTCCTCAGTGTTCACACGCACTGGCGAAGGGTCCTCTGACCTGGGGCTGCAGAAGGGAACCGCTTCACCGTCTCCGGTGGTCAGAAGCCCTGGAAGGTGGTGGGGCCTGCCCCTTGCGTCTCTCTTCCGCTTTTTTTCTCGGGGGTACGGGGGATTGAACCCTGAGATGGCCGCGCACCTCCTGTAGCTTTGACTTTGAAACAGGGTCTCAGTGAGCTGCCACAGCTGGGCCGGACTGCGGTCCCCCTGCCACTGACTCCGAGTGGCTGGGGTTACAGGTGTGCACCCCTGAGCTCGGGTCTTTCTTCAGGTTTCACCTATCTTGCCTGCATTTGAGAACCTTCAAGGCCCGAAGCCAAGTCTGCTTGCCCAAGGCCCAGCCCACCCCTTCCTCCCGGACCTCACCGCTGACCCAGGTTGGCTGTCTCTCCAAACAATCCAAACCAGCTCCACTACACGCTGATCTCTTCCCCACGTCTCAGCAATCTCCCGACTCACAGGACACACCTGTACATAAGGCCAGCCTCCCTGGCTGGTCCCTTACCCCAGTCCCGGGGCCCTGTTCACTCCCGCTCCACTGCCTGCTGGGTTTTGGGGAACCTGAGACACTCAAGTTCCCGTGCACTCTTCCTCTGCCGCAAGAAACCAGAAGGACCAGCGAAGTGGCACCTGCAGAGCTCTTGGGAAGAAAGCTGCTGAGTAGACACGAGCATCATGCTTCTGTTTGGGAGAAGTAGAGTCACATCGCCTGGGAGAGTGGGGACCCGCGGTTTACCACAGCGTTGTCCTCGGCCCCCGGGGCTGGAGCTGGGTCACAGTGGGGCACTTGAAGGAAGGGCTCGCCCATGGGTCTCCTTCCTGAGGAGAGCAGAAATCGCAGTGAGGGTTCACAGGCTGGGCCAGGCTCTCCTGGCCTCCTCTCCTCGGACACCCGAACCCCTCAGAACCAGTCCCTCTCTAAGCCGTCTCGAGTGTTGGGAACACTGCTGTGTGTTTGTGCTGAGCCTCCCTCCCGTGCTCGTCAGCCTGATGGCGCTTGGCTCAAGGCGCCCTTCTCTTCACAGTCCCTGGGGCCCCTCAGGTGCAGGGCTCCCGTGAGCTGCTAGGGTTGCTGTCGCCTTTCCTAGAGCAGGGGACTCAGGGTCTGCAGGAGGGCTGAGCATGGTTATTTGCATTTGGGTGGAGTCTCTGAAGGCCGGAAATCCTGTCAGCCTCCTCTGCACAAACGACAGAGGGGCGGTGTCCCCTGCTGGTGGCACCCAGCCTGACTTCTGTGACAGGCTGAGTGCTCTCTGCCAAATGACAGTCGTTGGCCTCCGGTGCAGGCTTTTCAGAGGGAAGGGGATGTGGTGATGCCATCTGTCTTCAGGGGCCTCCTCGCTAGAAGAGCTGGCCAGATGGAGGCAGGGCCAGCGCTGGGCATTTTCCCCTGTTCTTATCTCAAGGGGCTTGTGACACCGTCTGAGAACACAGCCTCTGTCGTAGACATCTCCGTCCTCTCTTGTCCTGGTAGCTGTGCCTGTGTCTCCTGTTTTTGTTATTATTTTCTAACATGACATCATTTCCGAAAGAATCTCTGAAAAAATCATTTTGAGGCCCTGGTGGGGAATGTTGGCGAAGGCCTCTCGATGAGCTTGGCCTGTTTCTCTGGGGAGGAAGGCACACAGGGGCACTGGACAGTGCTGCTTTGCTGCCTTCTGTCCCCTCACCCCACCCTCCTGGGAGGGAGGCCTGGCATCCTGGACAGAGGGGAGAGAGCTCCCAGGCAGCCCCAGGCTCAGCCTCCATCGGTGTGCACCCCGCTGCCACCGGGTGACAGCCACAGGCTCAGCATGTGGCCGGTGAGGCCCCCTTGAGCTTGGCCCATCTGAGGTGGGCTGTGGTTCGGCCGCATGCTGAGGGGCCTTATTGCTGGCGTTCTGTTTCTTTCCTTTTTTCCTCCCTCGCCCCTTCCCTGTGGGTGCCCCCGAGGGAGCTGCGTGTGGTCCTGGTGACATGGTCGGTGTTAGGGCTGAGGTGGGGTCTCCTCCATGTCACCCAGGGATCTAGGGCAGCGATGGCGTACCTTTAGAGACGAGTGCCCAGCCTGCAATCCCAAACCCACTTATTTTTCGCAGTGCCAACATGGCAAGTAGATCTGAGTACTGAGGCTTTAGTTTAGAAAAGACAACTCTGCATCGACATCTTTGTCTTAAAAGAAAAACAATACCCGTGTCCTCGGTGCACCCCCAGCGGTCGAGGTCCTCCCAAGGTGGCAGAGCTGTCCGTGCCGTTGTCAGTACTGCTCCCACTGCCCCGCGTCAGCTGAGGACGGCAGCAGCCCTGACCCAGCTGGAGTGTGGCTGTGTGCATCAACTCCGGCCTGAATTCCTCCTCTGCCACGGCTCAGCGCTGTCAGATTGGACGAGCCCGCTACCTGCTCTGAGACGTGGTTCTTAAACGGGTAAAATGAGGACGATGATAGCATTTACCTGCTGCACGTGGTGGCACAGGCTTGTAATCCCAGCACTTGAGAGGCTGAGGCAGGAGGATTGCCAGGAGTTGGAGGGCAGCCAGGCTATGTAGTGAGTTCATGGCCAGCTTGAACTACATAGCGAGGCCCTGCCTAAAAAAACGAAAACATGGCAGTGTTTACCTGGTGGAATCTAAGAAAGAACGGAGGCCGCGGGACCCAGTTTACAGTGAGCCCTGAGCTAGTGCCGCTCCTGGTGACATTCTGCGGCAGTCTTTGGGTCCCGTGTGTCACCTTTGGATCTTCTTGCTCTGGGACGTTTGACAGCTGACTTAGGGACCAAACCAGAGGTGCAGATGCTCACTGTTCTCCCGGGAGCAGGAGTGCAGACGCACCACAGCTGTTGCAGGTGTGAGACACTGGGGCCCGCGGCCCTGCCTGGGCTGTGGAACATTGTTTTCCTCTCAGAGCCAGTTCTGTGGTCCACTTTTGTTATTTGGGTCGGAACTTCAGATTGCTGCATTTTAGTGCCCTCACTCTAGAGGACGCTGGCTGGCCACGAGGAAATATTTTTGTTCTCGCGAGGCAGCCCTGGCCAGGTTGCCCAATGGGCAGAATACGACTCACACAGGTCTTATGGAGTGGGCACTAAAGAGGAACCATAGAATGGAGCGGGGAGAGCTTGTCCTTGGCATTGGGCTGTCTGGGCACAGTGGGCGTTTCAGAAAGGACCTCCTCTCTCCTGTCATCTCTTCAAGGCCCTGTTCTCCCAGCCCTGTGTTCCGGGCGGACGTTTCTGTCCTGGACGGGGAGCTTCTATTGGCCATCACCGTGTTTCCTGGCCAAGATGAAGGCAGGGTGCGGGGGCTCCGTGTGGACAGGACTCCGGGGATTCCCAGGCTGACTTTGGCATCTCTGTCCCTTTCTGTGTAGAACAAGGAAGTGACCTGCCAGCGGGAGAAGTGCCCGGTGCTGCCGCGCGACTGTGCCCTGGCCGTCAAGCAGAGGGGCACCTGCTGCGAGCGCTGCAAAGGTGGGTTCTGTCTGGCATGGGCTGTGTGTGGGGGAAGAGAGGAAGCACAGTGAGCAGCTGCGTGTGCGGTTTCAGGGGATGAACCATTAAATGTCCAGAGATGTAAACAGCGGCCTTTTGTCACTGTGCTCGCACGCTTGGGTTTGCCAGGCTCCACGTTCGCCCTGCCCTCGTCTGCCAAGGGAATCTTGAAATCCAAGTGTTACCGTTTTGGTTTCCATTAAGTCTTTTCTTCCTTTCCAGATTAACTCTAGGTCCTCTGCTTGTCTTTGGAGCAACTCTGAAGCCTCCTTACCCCACCTGGGCTGCTTCGCCCAGCTCTCCAGTGTTGGGTCTTGTTTGACTTTCCTTTACCCAAGGGAGTCACCGTCTAAGCCGTGTTTCTCAAAACTGGCTGTAAATGAGCTGTGACGTAGCAGGAGTCACCAAGACCGTTATCCTCTTCATAAAATGGTGCTTACTGGGATGCAGGCTCTGCATGCTCACACTAGACTGTGGGAGGGGCTATCAGAAGGCGCTGTTTCATGCACTGAGGGGCTCAGCGACCTGCCTAGGGTCACAGAGCCTGTGACAGAGGTGGGGGCGGACCTAGGTGGCCTGGTTCCCTGACTGCACATTTTCAAGTCTCCTCTAGACGTCCATGCAATTGGAGGCTGAAGGTGCCCTGTTCTTTCCTGATGAGAGATGAGAACCCTGTCCTTGAGAGGCCGCAGGGAGGAATCTGTCCCGGTCAGTGTCTTGAAGCGCGGACTCTCTCTGTTCTTTCTTGCTGGGAGGCTGTGGTTTCCCTCCGACCCTTTGCTCTCTTCTATTTGAAAATTTCACAGCATTAGATAGACAGGAAATGAAGCCAAGCAGCCACTATGACCAAGAAAACCCATCCCCGTGCTGACACACGGGTGGGCGAAGGCTTAGCGAGTCTTTCTCGTCTGAAGATGAGTGGGCGGGGGCCTTGGTCCCAAGAGCTGGCCAGCCCCTCCCATCATTGCTTAGGACTTCCTTTATTTTGTCTTTCTGACCCCTCTCCCTCTTTCCCTTAACACAACTATGCTTTAACTGTAATTAGATAGCACCGTGTTAATACATTACCACACTAAAGAATTTAAACAGGAAAGAGAAACGTACCTGCTCAGAAAATAACAGCCCTTACCCATTTATTGAACCTTTCCCGTATTAATCATTTATTACGTGTAGATGTAGTTTTGGTTGTGTGCTTTTTATTTGTACAGAATTGGAATGAAACAGTACATATTCTTTAGCGGTTTGCTTTTTTTAAACGTTTAACAAATATGACGCAGGGATTTTTCCTCGGCAAGTTCTTGCTTTTCGGACTGTTGTCTGGATCCCGGAGCAGCCCTGTACAGCTCACGTGGTGTCTCCCTGCTGGCGGAGGTTTGGGTCTTAGCTCTGCCGAGCACCTTTCCTGCTGGGCTCATGCCTGTGTCTCTGCAGGAAGGAGGCCCGGGAGTCACCGTGTGGAGGGAGATGTGCACCAGACCTCACACTGCGGGCGCCTCCAACAAGGAGGCTACTTCCTGTCCTCCCAGGGCTTCCGGGGTTTTCTTCCTGAAGCTGAGAGAGCTGAGCAGGGCCGGTGGTGAGACTGTGGCAAAGCCCACACCGGGGCGAGTGGGCCCTGAAACCAGGTCACCAGCAGCGCGCGTTCCCAGCCCAGCAAGGATGGGCTCACTGTGGCCTGGGCGGCACTCGGACCCCTGCTGCCCGCTTCGGTTGCCCACGTTGCGCGAGGGTTTTCCTCTTCTGTGCGGGTGAGAAGTGGCATTGCGCTCCCACCGGGGCCTTGCGGGGCCGTCGGGCTTCACCTTTTCTGATGAGTTACAGACAGTGCTGACGGCTGGCAGCAGGCAGGATGGGTTCTGTCTGCACAGGGCTGGGCCAGGGCTGCAGATTCTGTCACAGGCTGAGCTAGACGTAGAGCAGAGGCTGGAGCAGGAGAGGGGGCTTTGCTTGCTGTTCCTTCTCAGAATGGTTTTCAGGAGAGACACCGTTACCATCAGCCTCGCCGGCACACCTGTGCCTGCCGCCTTCAGAGGCCTCAGGATGAACCCCCTTCCTGTCTCCGTAGCGCCATCCAGGAAAGCACTGTGAGCGGAGGTGCGTTACTCCATTCTCTGCCATCGGTCTCTTACTCTGGGCCCTCTGAGGTTCCCTGTCGGATTTGGTGTTCGTGTTCTGTGTGCTGCCTCCGCTTGGCCTCTTCGGAAGGTTGTGTGTGTGTTCATCTTTGCTGTACCCAGATTTC